CGTACTCTCACTTGTAAAAACCAGAGAGCTTAAATAGGTAATCTTCTAGTTAGATTGCAGGTATGGTGGCTAGTGTAAAACTTAGGTGGACTACTTAAATAGACAACCAAAAGTTGTATATATAGCTAGTTGTACCTTCATTATAATTGTAAACATTGTTAATTATCTAATAAAAAGCCTCCAGCCATAGAGGTCATCTTAACACTAAAAAAAAATATATATATATAAAAAATTAAAATATATAAAATAAATTAAAATATTTATAATTTAAATATCTTCAATTATTTTATCTACTTCTTCAATTGGATTCCATTCAATATCTTCTTGTAATTGATTTGTTAAAGAAGTTTCTTTTCTATTTTCATTATAATAATCTTTATTCATATTAAAATTATCATCTTCAAATTCATCTTCAAATTTATCTAAATTTAAAATATTATTTAATAATAAATTTGTTTCTTCACTTAAATTAGTATTTTCTTTATTTTCATTTAAATCTACTTTAGTAATTTCAACAAAATCATCTTTATCTAAATTTAAATATTTATTAACTAAAATTTCAAAAACTTCAGTATTTGTTTTTTCTATACCAAAATATAGTAATTCTTGCTTAGCATGTGAATAGTAATATGATACAATTTTATGCATATTTTCTATTTTATAAAGTACTAATTTATTTCTTCTTACTCCATATAACCACCTAATCTTGACTATACATGTTCACATCTAGCAGCATGTGGAACAATTGAAAATAATTTTAATACTAATTGAACTAAATAATCTTCATTTTAGAAAAACTATCTCTAAGAGAAAACTACTAAATAAGTAGAGTTTCTGATATACTATATGAAATATCAAATCTTATATGATATAATTTCATTTGATATAATAAATCTCATCTTGAAATATTTGTTTTTCCCATTTTTTCAAAAATTTCATCTGCAGCTAATAAAAGTTCTCTAAATATTCTATGTGCCCAATAAGATTCTAAAAATATAAAATAAAATAATTAATTAATATTTTAATTTTAAATCTAAAAATTTTAAATTTCTTACCATTATATTGTGGATATAAAAAAAAATATAATAAATAAAGTGGATTAGCAAATTCATTATATCTCTTATTAAAAATAGCAATACATTGTTTGCAAAAAATAGAATGATCACTTAAAGACAACTTATTAATAGATGCACCAAGATGAATTAATTCACAAAAACAATTAGCAAAATTACATAGGCATGATTCTAAAATTGTAATTGCTTTTTTAACAGGATCTAATACAGTTGACTCTGAATATAACGAACCTTTTTATAATGAATACACTATATAATAAACTTTTTTTTCAAATTTAATATAAGTTTAGTATATAAAATATAGTAAATTACTATATAACGAACTTTTAAAAATTTTTACTATAAGACTCGTCAGTTCATTATAAACAGAGTTGACTGTATTGCATATTTGGATTACTAAACTTATTATTTATTTTTTTTTTTAGAGCATGCTCTATTGCAAGCATATTGGTAGCATTATCAGTTGTGCTCTCTAGAAATTTTTAACTGATGCCTACTTTCTTTAGAAGTTTAATAATTGTGTTGGCCTGGTTGGTTGTAGTGTGAGTTTCATTAAACAAATTTATATTAAGTAAAATACAATATATTTTTTACTCAGAATTTATTTAGTGTGTAGTTACATTGATATAAGGCTGCTGGGTATATAACATCTAACCATCTATTGTAATTGAATTTTTTGCTATATTATTTAAAAAAAATTTAGTTTTATTTTTATTTTTATTATACTTTTAACTAACCCAAGTTGTGAGTGTTTGGTAATAGAAAAGATGGTAATAGAGGTTAAGCTCTTGTAAAAATTTAATGAATTCTAAGCATTTTCAGATAATAAAAATAATTGTTAGTTAATAACAATCTATTTTAAAATTTTATTATTTAAATTATCTACTTTCATTAAAGCTATATAAATCAAGTTATTAATATTTATGCTATTTAATTATAGCATATTTAGAAGGATAAAAAGCTTCAAAATACCAATTAATTGTTGATATTATAGTCTGGTTTCCAAGTGCTTGTTCACATACTTTGCATTTGTTGCTTCTATCATTGAGTTTATTAAGGTAATCTTTGACAGGTATATGGTTTTGTATATATTTAATCTGGGCTTATTTGCTCTTTTTTGTAGTTTTTTTTTGCATTATCTAAGAACACAGATGCAATTTTATTGTTTATAGAGATGGAGGTTTTTTTACTAGAAGAACTAGAAGATTCATTATTTATTAATTCAAATTCAAATTGATTTGTTTCTATAAGAGATTCAAATTTACTTGTCAATTTTTTTTTTTTTGTAATTTTTTTTTTTTTGATTTTTTTTTTTTTTTTTTTGTGTTTAAGTAATCTCTATGGCTGGGGGCTTTTTTTTTACTTTTTTAATTCGGGTTTTATAGTTTCAATGGGGGGGTAT